CAGTTTTACATCACAATTGGCGCATTTTAGACCGGATGCTTAAAAACCTACGTGTGAGTACATTTACCGCTGCATAGAATGTACAAGACAAGTAAAACATTACTGCTAGCATGTCTGAGATATGTTCGGCACCCGATGAGTCATGTTCATATATTGGTGGTTTCTACTGTACATACCTTGGGTATTTATCCAAATTTTAATAAATCGGGTATATACCGGGTACGTGCCCAATGGGCACTGCCCATCACTGGTTGTGTTTGAGTATATTCTTTTTTTTCTCGTTTGATTGTTGGGCATTATCATAATGATTTTTTTTTCCTTTTTCGTGTTTCTTATGCTTTGTAATTTACATAGAAAGTGATTCACCTTTTTTTTTAAAGAAATTTGTTAATGTAGGCATTTTTTCCAAAAAAGCTTTTTGCCTCGCTTCTTTCTATTCCTTTAATTAGCGATTGCCAAAGCCAGAAAACTTGTTTCGTGTGTATTCCAAGGTTAGCACTACTACACAAAGCATTAAAAATTATTTTTAAAATTAACGTTACGAAGTATACAGGGTGTCCCAAAAGTCAACGATATCCTTTGGAGGAATGAGTCAGGGCTCCCACGGCTAAATTACAGGTTTTTTTTTAGGAATTTAGGAGGTTTTTTGGATAATTTTAGGAGAAATAAAGTATGCAAATGAATTTTTGTAATTAAATAAAAAAAAACTACATTGTACTTAAAAAAATAGGAAAAAATAAATAAGTCTTTTTAACAAAACTATAAAAAAATATCTCTTTGATCCCCTATAATGTCCCCCCCTTTTATTATTTTATTTTAAGTGTCTCAAAAAAATTTAAAAGTGTGGTACTGAAAAATACTTTTTTTATGTATAAAAAAATTGGAAAATTGATCAGTATACAGGAAAAACAAAAAGTTTATTTTTTCTCAAGGGATGCCCCTATATATGAATTTATTTTTCGATTCCTTGTAAAATTCTAAGCATAATTCTTATAATATACCATAAACCTAAATACAAGCGTTTCTGAAATATTTAAATTATTTTTTAGATAATAAGTTAAAATATTTTGTCGTTCTCTGTCTAAATACGGCATTTTTACTTACTTACTATTTTAATAAAATAAATAATAAAAATTTAAAATCGAATAAAATCTGTAATATTTGAATTTTTTAAATAAAATTTTAAATTTGTCGATAAATTATAGTAGATAATAAATTGCACCACTTTAATTTGAATAATCTTAAATAGGGGGGCCTGGAGGCGGGTGAGGCACTAGGAAAAACTAACTTTTTTTCGATTTCAATTTAAATTCTGTTTGCGCAAAACTTGTCTATTTAATGTCATTATAAACTATTATAAATTTGGTTTGGGTCCCATGTCTAATAACTGAGATATTGGTATACCCAAAATCCACCAGCCGCCACTAAAATAATGGCATTAATGCACAAAACATAGTAGACCGGGAGCTTGATGGAGTTGAGTGTGCAAAATGTGAGGACCGCATTCTGTATATAGTTTTGAACTCAGAAAAGCTTGCAGATGAAGATTCTGAATGTTGCCAGGAGGATTGTTGGTCCATTTATTTTTTACGCCCCCGACCCCTTAGATATTAAGTAAATGGACTGAAAAAATGCTTTGGAATCATTTTAATGATTGTTTAAGTGACAATATCCAATTTTTTCCTATGATTACAGATACTCACAGCTAGTCAATTGAAAAAAAAAAACAAAAAAGTTAAAAAAAAATTGTTGATAAAAACTATTTAATATGAAAAAGCAAGTTTTAACATAAGTCATCCAAAAAAATACAAATACTTTTTAGTACAAATCGCTCATTTTCGTACGTACTTAATAGAGCCTCTCCATTTTTTACTATATTTAGCAAACATTGCGAAGAAGATTCATTAGCAAGTTCACCGGTGTAAATATTTCGAAGCGCGCAGTTATCGTCGTCATTGTAGGGATTGCAAGCATTGAAATACTTTTTGATATTTTGAATATCTTTTTCGTCTTTATTAATCCTGGATTGCGTCCATTCATTATGATAATTAATGTCACTTGTAGAGTCTGCTTGTATTCCGAGATATGAAGAAAAAGCCTCGTGAATGCTGTTTTTAAACGGATAAAGAAGCAGCCATCTCTGCATCGCTTCTTCATTTTTAGTAATGCCAATCAAACCTCCAGTAACTGCTGAAGATCGGTTCTGAGACTGCTCTAATGCTAAGTCGGGCCTCACTGCATTAAATTTACCTTCCGTTCGTTTGACAGACAGCATTCCTCTCTTCATATCATGTACAACTTCTAAAGGTAGTTTTATCATATCTTGTAAATAAAGAGTTACTCCGCGAATGTAAATTGTATGATTCATAGAGAAAAAATAAGGTAACATTTGTCTAGTAGTTAACAAATGTAATTCATAATTATTACTTCTATCAGCCATAATTGAATTTAACAAAATTTCTACCATTTCACAGTAGTTATTAAAATATTTAAATATTGTATTTTTAGTGCTCATGGTGCGTAAAAAATTTGAAAAATTCATCAAAAAATCTCTAATTATTCTTTTGTATTGATTATATTTTTCGATTAGACCTGAATGATCTTTATCTACTGTATTCTCTCTTATTTCTTGAAGACAAGTATTTAGCTGCTGTAAATAATCTTGAGAATAATTCATCCATTGTATAAATTCGGCAAGTTGTATGCTTCTTAAAGCTTCGTACAAGAGTTTGTGTGCTCTAATACCTCTGTTATACTGAGTACCTTTTAGAATTGACGACAAAGTATTGACACCATAAATATTGGCTTCAATAAGAATACCATCGAGTCCACTCCCTTCTACATATTGTCCCAAGCATCGCAAAAAATTTTTTTGCAAATGAAACGATCCAATTCTCAATATCAAATTTTCAAATTCTTGATTTGTTTGTTAAATATTTTTTGCGATAAGATATATGGCCATGTCACATGAAAGTACTGCTATATTTTTACCGAGTGCAAGACTTACGTTAACATAATTTTTCATAGCGGTATACACAACGTCTTTGCAAAGACTTCCATGGAAGTCGGTGGCTGAGGTATGATCGGACTAAATCCAACAGTAGAAACAGCTGAGGTTTCAGACGATAGTATTTGTTGAAATGGAGTCCATCCTGGTACTGAGTTTGTAGATGGTCTGCAGAAATTATTTTCTGTTTGACTATATTGCAGTCTACACAAGACCCAGAGCAAATGGTCAAATTGTAAATTGTTTTGACTATTATTCAATAAATAGCTACTGTCTTTATAATTCGGTATTGAAGGCTGCATACTTTCTTGGAAATGAAAAATTTCTTGACAGTTTAAAAATTTTAAATCAAACTCGTTCTGCTCTGCTGTAGGCTTCACTTTGATTAAATTAACTTTACTTTCATTGGTTTTTTTTCTTGATATATCACCATTGCTGTAACATGGGTCGAGTCTTTTCCGCTTAATATTTCTTCATTGAAATCATTGTTATCTATAGCTCCATGAAGAAATAACGATGAATCTCGAACTATATTTTTAGGAATAAGCAATTTTCTGTCTAAATCTTCACACACAATTGACGTTGTTACTTCTTTATCTAGGTTTTTTAATGCTTTGTAACTGGTGCAATGCCCACATTTATTTAACATATTGATTAATTGTTTCGATCGAGTCAAATGATGAATAGATTGAGCTAAAGCTATATGTTTTGGAGTCTGTTTTTCAGTAATCGTGAAATATATATCATAAAACACTGATAACGCTCGTCGATTATAAGTTTCACTTAATTTGTTATTCTTAGAACTGAACAACGCTTGCATAAAAGTATGCCAAGTATTCGGTAATTGACCTTTTTTTAAAAACTGTTCAATTAAAATTTCATCACATAAATACCCATCTGGTATTACTTCAGTTCTTAATATTTCTTTGCGAAGTTGTTTTGCTACTTGAACAATGTAGTTTGTTGAATTTATCGTACGAATATGTTCAATGACTTCGTCCAGTGGTATGTTGCCCATAAATACCAATGATGATTTTGATCGATCGCTTGAATATGAAAATAAAACGTTCCCTCCATACTTATCAATGAGTAGTGATTTCATAACGCGATTTTCCACAACTGCATCTTCTATTTCAGTGAGTTCAGCTAGTCGCTTAGCTAATAATGATACTTCAAAAGAGTGAGATGTTAATTGATGTTTTATTTCATCAATCAGCTTCTCAAATGCCTCTATAAGTACGTAATGAGGTATTTTATTTGGAGGTCTACCTGCTGGAGTTGCTGAATTTCTTGGTAGTCGTAGATAATCACGATAACAGTGTTTATGATACTTTACTTTAATTGCAAATAAATCAGCTGGATGTTCGCAAGTGACAATTTTTGTGAAAACATCATCTTGTTTTTTACGGGCAGTATTTAAAATTTGTTCTGCCGCCGAAATTTCGGAGCACAAAAAGAGTGTTTTGTTTTTATTTCTTGTTTGTTTACCACAAAATAAACATTTCAGATCTTTATCAAATTTTAAATCAGTTCTTGATGACCTACGAACACGTTGTACTCTGCAGAGGAGGTAGAAATAGAGACATTCTCCTGCTTATGTAATGCTATTTCTCGACGCCTTATTTTCTCTTCACTAATGTAACTTGCCATACAAGTTCGATGCCATGAACAATTGTGTTCAGTAAAGTCTGTATTATTTTTTATTTTTTCACTAATGTCATCTTTTCTCCGATCTGCTGCTCTTTGAATATTTACAAATGATTGTGGTTTTGGTTTCTCGACTAAATTACCCGTTTCATCACAAAACAAACACGACATTTCGTTTAGTCTTCGTCTCTTTACATTTGTCACTTGTAGCGACATTTTCAACGTTTTTGTTTAAATAAAACACTCTAATAAATCCCTTAACTACCAGAAAACTTAAATAATATTGCGTAAATACGAAAAAATAAACCGTTACGCACTGTGGATGATGCGCTATGACATTGTCATAATGACAGATCAACGCGCAGAGTGGGGAGAAAGGTGAGGAAAAGGGACCAGCATAGCTGTCGGCAACATGGGTTTTTCTTTTGTTTGGTGTCTCAGGCAAAAGAATTTGAGCATAGTTGCCGGTCCTCACATTTTGCATACTCAAATACCTTTGGCGCCTGCACTATAGGCGGTAATTTACTGTTTTAAGTTCAGCCACGACACGATATTTGACAAAAGTTCGTGTTCGGCTACAATCGGAACCGCTTACACCAATCAGGCATCGCATTCCTAAAGAACGAAAGTACCTTTTTTACATGTTTATAGTTTTGAGCGCCTCTTATTTTTGACAGTCATCACGTGTTAATAATTACTATCTTACTTAAAAAGTCAGTTTCATTAATAATATTAAATTTAAGTAATTAAACAGTCAGGTTGGCCTATTTATATTAAATTTTTAGAAGTTTTAGGAGATTTCTGGCCATTTTAGGAGAATTTTAGGAGTTTTCAAGACTTAAGCAAAATTTTATGAATTTTATGAGTTTTAGGAGGTGTGGGAGCCCTGATGAGTTGACCAACCAGAAAATCAAAACATGAAAAATCGTTAGTTTTTGAGATATGTCATTTTTATTTTGTAAAACTTAAGTTGACACCTTATATCAGTTTTATATCAGTTTTTCGAGTGCCACAGCTACAAAATTCAATATTCTTAGATTATATTTTATGTTGCGCAATCCTAAATATGCCTGCTATTGATTACAGTTCAAAATAAAACCAATAGTAGGTTTTTACATTTACATTTTTGCCCGATTTTATAAGTTTTTTTTATAAGCTAACTTCGACCGTTCAGACTGTAAAAAAATGTGTCACGCAAACTTGGCAAGATATTTTAAAAATTGCTAATTTAGTGTAATATGCCATGTTATACTTTAAAGAAAAAGATATTGCTGTTTTACTGCAAAACGAGCTTATTGTTAAATTATTTAAATATTTAGGAATTTAAACAAAAACACTTCTTTAATGAAAATGTGTTCAAAATGCCTGCCATCAAGTCAAATGCAAGCGCGGCTTTTTTTTTAAAGATCGTTTTATCTGTCTTGCACAGGGCCGGATTTAGCATGGGGCCAGCGGGGCCACGGCCCCAGGGCCCCCACCATTTAGGGGTCCCCACCAATGCAATATGTGGCTTTTTAATGAAACCAATATGAAAAAAATTGTCGAAAAAAACAAAAAAATGGGTCGGTTATACCGCGCAAATCCTGTAATTTTCAATTAATTTTTCGTAGATCTAACGCGGATTTTTTTATCGCTTATCCGCTTGCAAATCAGAATGTAAATTATCACACTCAAAGTTTTGGCGGGCGAAGACGTTTTTCTATAGTCTATAGTCATAAGTTATGACTCATAACAATTTTAAGCAGTTGCTCCTTTAGTGCTTGTAACGTTTTTGTAAATACAGGCAAACAGTCTAATAACACTAGTAAACAATAAAAAAAGGTCGGTAATAAAAATAGCTCAGTCCTATACATTTTGACCTGCTCGACGCAAATCCGGCGCCCAAAAAATTTTCTGAAGTCTCGTTTAGACGATAAGGGCAGGACCATGATACAAAGAAAAATTGTTAAATAATAACGATAAAATTAGTAAATAAAAAAGGTCGGTAATAAAAATAGCACACTCCTATAGATTTTGACCTGCTCGATGCAAATCCGGCGACCAAAAAATTTTCCAAAGTCTCGTTTAGACGATACGGGCAGCACCATGATACAAAGAAAAATTGTTAAATAATAACGATAAAAATTAGTAAATAAAAAAGGTCCGTAATAAAAATAGCACACTCCTATAGATTTTGACCTGCTCGACGCAAATCCGGCGACCAAAAAATTTTCCAAAGTCTTGTTTATAGACGATACGGGCAGCACCATGGTACAAAGAAAAATTGTTAAATAATAACGATAAAAATTAGTAAACAAAATAATTTGAACGATTAAAAACATCAAAAAAACATGCCTTAAATTATTACAATATGTACAGATATGTTGTTCATGGAATGCTGAAATATAAGTTAAAAGTATCGTCATCTTAAAATTTTCAAATGGTGTATTTATGCAATAAATGGTACCAAAATACTGTGCTCCTATTTTTTATTTACGACTTCAGAAAATTTTTTTAAAAACATTTTGGATCTATTTCAGTTATAAACAAACGAAAAATTCTATTTTTACCAAGGACCTTTTTTTAAGTTAAAATTTGTTGCCTAGTGTAATCTAATATTAAAGTTAGTTTTTGTCCCAGATTTTTATTGGTACATTGGAGTGTTGTGGAATATTTTTCGGTGTTTCCGAAAAACGGTTTCGTGCTTTTCTTTGGACAAAAGATTGTTTTATTGTTTGATTTTGTATGAAAAACAGACAAATAATACGACTTTTGATGTACTTTTTTTCAGTTTGCGGTAAGTATTAAAAATACAAACAAAACATGGATCAATTTATATTTTACTTGAGTAAAATATATACAGGGTGTTCCAACGAAAACTTGTACCCCCCCAAACGTTTTATCGGATGAGTGTGGACAAAATTCCTTGGACACGTCAATTTATATTTTTAGGGGGGCGAATTTTGATGTATGTTTCACGCCCCCACCCGCACCCCTACACGCTCCACCCCGCCCGCCCCCTAAATTTTAAATTGTAAGGGGGGTTGAGTGATATATCATTTTAAAGGTCTTTTAATTCTTAATAAGGTTCTGTAATTTTTTTAAAATCTGTTGTTAGTTTTGGAGAAATTGCTATTTGAAGTTTTAAATTTGGTAAAAAAAATAAAACAAAAAAACTGTAAATCAACGAATGTATTGTTCAAAGTGATTTCCTCCAACCTCCATGCAATAGTACAGACGTTGATTAAAATTATTTCTAACATTTTGAAATACGTCTGGCGTTAATAACCGGCATTCTCTAATAATTCTTTCAATTCCTGAAGAGTCTCTGGTGGAGTGGCATAAACTTTTGATTTCAAATGTCCCCACAAAAACAAAATCTAACGGTGTTAGATCAGGAGATCTAGGCGGCCACTCTATAGGACCCCTTCTTCCAATCCAACGTCCTGGAAAATGTCCGTCCAAAAATTGTCGTACTTCAAGAGTATAATGCGGAGGTGCGCCGTCCTGTTGAAATGTAATTTGATCTTCAAATAAATTATTATCATTTTCTAGAATTTCGGTAATCATTGGATCAATAAGATCTTCCAACATTTCTAGATAAATGTCTCCATTAAGGTTGCCGTCTATGAAAAATGGACCAACAAGATGGTCCCCTAAAATTCCGGCCCAAACATTTAACTTTTGGGGAACTTGGGTGTGGGTTTCATGGAGCAAATGTGGATTAGTATCGCTCCAATAGCGACAATTATGTCTATTCACTTGTCCATTTAACATAAAAGTGCACTCATCCGAAAAACATGTATTATACAAAAGATTAGGATTAATTATCAACTGCTCACTGAAATATTCGCAAAACTGTAACCTGCGATCAGGGTCATCTTTATTATTTCTTGAACCAGCCGAATTTTGAAAGGATGAAACTTGTTCATTTTCATGATGCGAAACACACTGGTGGCGGATACGCCAGAGGCTTGAGATAATTTCCTGATAGACTGTGTATGATCCATTTGTACATGACCCAACACAGCAACTTCTATAGCTTCATTTCTTACTGGACGATTTGCCTCACGTTTTTTGTTGTGGATGGAACCCGTAGTTTGAAACTACTAATTGTTGAACGTATTGGTAACTTTTTTTTCGGGATGTTATTATTAAAAATTCGTGCCGAGGCGTTTGCACAATCATTATTTCGATAATAGGTTGCAATAATTTCCGTTCTTTCTTCAATGGAGTATACCATTTTGAGAATACGTTGTAAGGTTCACAATGTTAAACTAAAAAGGTTCAGAAAGCTAAACTGATAACGACTGAGCAATAGGCATTTACTAATTATTCTTGATAACTGCATTTAAATAAATCCGTATGGCGCGTGCGCGCTTTACCATGGCAACCTCATCAAAAAATGTTATGCATGCATGTACTTTGAACATTAAATTATTTAATTTCTCCAAAACTAACAGATTTTAAAAAAATTATTAAGAATTAAAAGACCTTTAAAATAATATATCACTCCACCCCCCTTACAATTTAAAATTTAGGGGGCGGGCGGGGTGGATCGTGTAGGGGTGCGGGTGGGGGCGTGAAACATACATCAAAATTCGTCCCCCTAAAAATAAAAATTTACGTGTCCAAGGAATTTTGTCCACACTCATCGGATAAACGTTTGGGGGGGGGTACAAGTTTTCGTTGGAACACCCTGTATAAGGTTATGTTCGTATTATTCAAAATATAAAGTATATAAAAACACTTTCATTCACAATTCTATTCTACTATCTACGATTTTATAGTTTTGCATACGAATTGAGGAGTGATTTTTCAAAAGGTCGTATTTCCATTTGCAACAATTTTTCAAAAAAATGACTATAACCTGTATAGTTTAGGGCAATATAGATTATTTAAAAAAAAATCTGATGAATATTTAATAATACTTCAGACCTGCTGTCATATTTCGCCGTTAATATATGCCTTTGGGATTTTGTCAAAAAATTACATTAAAGTAAAAATAGAAATAAGGCCTTTTGAAAAATCACTCCTCAATTTATAATTTTTCAGACTTGGGTAAAATGTATAAAAGGTTTTGTTCGTATTATTCAAAATATACAGGGCGATTCAGACTTGTGGTGACAAAAGCTCAGGAAAAATTCCTCTCATCAAAATATGAAAAAAAGTTCCTATAAACACGTGTCCGAAAATGCTTCATTATCGAGATACAGGGTGTTTCGTTTAAAAAAAATGAGTTTTTTATTTATACCCGGACAACATTCGTGATATTCATACGAACATCATATCGTGATTTTCACAAATTTTATTCATACTGATATCATACGGAAGTCACCGAGTGATAAATGAAAATCATACGAACGCCACATCGTGATTTTCACAAATTTTATTCATACGGACATCATCCGGATGTCACTGCGTGAGAAATAAAAATCATGTCGTGATTTTTTATGCCATCGCTGTTTGCGATTGACCGATGGCCTAAAAAATCGGTTCCCGGTCACTTTCCCGAATGCAATTTCCCGACTGACCAATTTCCCGATAGACCATTTTCCCGACGACGTTTTTCCCGACAGCACTCTTCCCGACAGACTATGTTCACGACAAAAATCTTATTATCCAGTTAAGAAACCTTTTTCCCGATAGCCCTTTTCCCGAAAGATTATGTTCACGACAAAGTTATTATCTAGTAAAGAAAAACATACCTGGTCAAAAATGATTTCGGTATCCGCTTGTTCCTTCTGGAATTCTGTAAGGGCCAATGGGCGGGGTCGGTTGGGTTGGGTTGTTGGGTTTGGGTTGGTTTCGAAGCGGGCGGACTCGGGAGGTTGGTTAAGGAAAAAAGATCTGCTTCTCGTCCTAAGATTGCGTCATTGTATGACGTCACTCTGTTAAAATATATTGTGTCGTTTGTGGTAAAAATGATTTGTCGGGAAAATGGCTTGTCAGGAAAATGGCTTGTCGGGAAAACGACTTTCGGGAAAATGACTTTCGGGAAAATGGTGTCGGGAAAAATCTTGTCGGGAAAATGGTGTGTCGGGAAAATGGTCTGTCGGGAAATTGGTCTGTCGGGAAAATGACTTTCGGAAAAGTGACCGGGAATCTAAAAAATCATGTCGTGATTTTTTATGCCAACGGTGTTTGGATAATCATTTTTGAGCCACATTCGTACACTAAGAGAAAAATTATGTTGAATCAACAGTTTTTGCGGTTAAATACATTTAATATTTTCTTGGATTTAAATTAACTATATATAGTTCATTTAAATCCAAGAAAATATTGAAGTTATTTAACCACAAAAACTGTAGATTCAATATATGTAGGTATACTTTTTCTCTCAATGTACGAATGTGGCGCATAAATAAATATCCAAACACCGATAGCATAAAAAATCACGACATGATTTTTTATGCTGTCGGTGTTTGGGCTTAAAAAATCACGACATGATTTTTTATGCCATCGGTGCACCGAGATGTTTGGATATTTATTTTTGCGCCACATTCGTACATTGTGAGAAAATGTATGTTAACAATTGAATTAACAGTTTTTCCGGTTAAATACATTTAATATTTTCTTGGATATAAATTAACTATTAATTTAAATCCAAAAAAATATTGAATGTATTTAACCACAAAAACTGTTAATTCAATATACATACAGGGTGTCCCATAATTAGCGTGCAATACTTTAACAGCAGATTCTACGTACAAAAATAAGAAAAAAAGTTCCTATAAACATAGGCCGATAAATGCTTTCTAAGGGAACTACAGCGCCTAAATGAGGAGCCCCTGAAGATGGTTTTTATTTAATATGTCCAAAACCGTTCAGGGTAGACAAGTAAAATTTTGGGAATTAATCAAACTTTTTATGGCCAATAAGATGTAATAATAACAATTCAAAATTTCCATGAGGGGTGGGTCAGATAGATAGGGAATATGGGTTAAAACCACCCTAACTTTTTGTACGTGTCTCATGCTAGGATTTGATGTCAGATTATGAAATTTCGGAATTTTACACACAAAAAAGGTCCTCTTGTTAAACTTTGATATTGTCCACTGTTTTCGCTTAAAATCCATTTAAAAATTACCTTACATAGCATAAAAGATAATAATGATTTCACAAGAGAGAAAAATTCAGAGTAGGCCATGGAACACAGCCGCCATCTTTAGGAAAAATTATTTAAGACAGGTGACAGTTTCATGTTATATGTGACAGGGTGTTTAAAATTTGTCCATGGCCATGTTTAAAAATTGTCCATGGCCTACGCTGAATCTTTTTCTCTAGCTGTGATTTCATTATGAATTTTTATGCTATGTAAGGTAATTTTTAAATCGATTTTAAACGAAAACGGTGCATGCTATTAAAGTTCATCAAGAGGACCTTTATTGTGTGTAAAACTCTGAAATTTTATGATCTGTTATCAAATCATAGCACAAGATACGAACAAAAAAGTTAGGGTAGTTTTACCCCCACCCCCTTTCTACATTGTGTCGCCATAAGAGTAACGCACGTGTGTGAACCGCTTGTGTTTTTTGTGAAAAAATGTAGAACTTGGTAAGTTTTTTAAAGTAATACAATAGTAACTTTTTAGAAATATTGTTATAGAATATAACTCGTTACATTTGTTATTGAAATAAGCAATATTATAATAATAAAAACTTATTTTAATATTTTTTTTCAGATAGGAGAATTTGCATCGGAACCGTACTCATTTAAAATTTAAGGTAGGAGAAATTGCGACTTGTGGTTACTCAGATAATGGATTTGTGTTGCTTTGAATTATCCAGAATTCATAATGTCTAAAAGAACATTACACATCTTATCTTTGACACGAACACAAAATCTTATCAACCATGAAGAGGAAATTGGAAATGCAAGAAGTACAGAAAAAGAGAAGATTGATACCGAGAACTATAATGCTAGGTCACCTCTTTTACCCCTAGATAATAATATATTGGATATAGAAAATCTTCCTGTAATATTTTTACCAGAAGAAGCTTCTTTTTCCTTGACTGAAAATGATAATTTTGGTTTACAAAATTATTTGAATGATAATCAGACTGAAAGCTGTAATATAGAAGACTGCTCCATAAACACTATACCAATTAGTACAAACAGCAACAATTGAGGCGTTTCTCGGAAAAACATCATTAGTCCAATATCGTCGAAATTTAGATATTAGCACCAACTGTTTCCTAACCTCCATATATACGTATACAAATAAGTGTTTCTCGTAAAAATGTCTTAGGTTCCATAATAATTAAATATGAAATTTTGCTTGTTCTTCTAAAAACATCACAAGTCCACTCCGTTTCGTCTAAGAGAGTCATGTGCATAACATGTGACGTTTTTGGACACTCTAGAAAAGCTTCTACCTCTTTTACATGACCACAGCAATAGAAAATTTTATGATAACTTGTAAAAGACCAGAAGACCATAGCACCTGACAGTCCTGATAACACGGTCGACAACGATGATAATAGCAGTGGATGCGAAGACTGAGTGTGGCAGTAATACAGTTTTTAGTTTTTTCATTTATTTTGTTACTCAGAGTTAATATTTAGTTTGTAGTGTTTGTAGTAAGGAGAATTGTTCGTTTTTTTCTTCTAAAACCTCACATATTCATGTATTTTTTGTGTTTTTTTCATATTCGTCGAAACAAAAAACATGAGGAATTCTGGACAAAGTATTTTACATTTTTTTACATGTAGTAAATAGGTCAATAAAGTACTTTGGTAAAAAATGGGAATGTCAGAGAGTTTTTTTCATTTTCCCAAATTTGTTAATTTTGGACTAATTATGTTTTTCCGAGAAACGCGTCAATTGTGATACAAATAACCAAACAATTTCATTGGGAGTAAAAAGTGCAAAAATTAAACCATGTCTTGTCCCTTATGAGTGTACCAGTACCAGTGACGAAGAAGAAGTATTTGCAACCCATAATCATTTAGCTGCCGTAAGTAGTAGTCAGAAGCCCTCAGGTACCATTGATGAAGATGAATTCGTCCGTGAAACTCATCAATATTTAAGTGCCAGTGTTAGTCCAGAGCTTTCAGATACCAGTACTACTGAAGATAACTATGAAGATGATACAGACGCCAGCTCTGAAGAGGCCGAGAAAGGGACTGAATCAGAAGAAAGCATGAACAATAATAATATAAACAGCGGAAGAAAACGAAAGATAAAATTAGATAAAGACGAATGGATAAGAAACAAAAATAAAAGGCTAAGAATGCAAGGCAAGGCTTATTTAGGATTTAAGAAAAAGAATGGAGAAAAGATCAAGCAAAATCAACCAAGAAAAGCAAGATCGTTGAAGGAGACTTGTAATTCAAGCAAAATCTAAAGTGAGGTATTGTAAGGATATTACAGATAATTGCCGACAGGAAATATTCGAAAAATTTTGGAGTCTTAGCTGGGATCAGCGCAAGACCTTTGTAGCGCCACATGTATTAAAAACTCCAATTTTAAAAGGACTAAAGAACAGTCAAGAAGATTAGGCACTTACTCATATTATCTAAATGATGGAAAGGAGAAACTACAAGTATGTCGGGCTATGTTTGTTAACACGTTGGATATCGGATATAAAACTATTCAATATTGGGTGGATAAGAGTTCCTATGGAATATTCCATATGTCTCAATGCACTTCTGAAAAAAAATCAACAAAGGGCCCTTTGTTGATTTTTTATATATGGGTCAGAATTTCTCAAACGGGCCACCTGAATTAGGTCAAAATTAGTTTTTGATTGTAGATACATTTTTTCGATAGTATTTTACATCACTAACACAAATCCTAAAGGATTTTGTAAAAAAAAAAATTTCAATTGACATATTCATGATATTAAAAGTAAAAGTTTTTAGTAATTAAAAAATAAAAAAAAATCATTATGGCTAAACTAATTATCCGATTCCAACGATTTAACTAGCGTTGGAATCTTGTTTTGACATAGATTCTTTGTTATTTTTTTAAATTGTACAATTTTCATTTAGGTCGATTTTTTTTTGTTTTTTTTATAACAAATTCGGAAATAATTGGCTTCTGCGCCAGCTATCGACTCGAAAAAAAAAACACATATACTCCAATCATTTTTCAAAATTATGCTGCTGAGAAAAAAAATGGCCCGCAGGTTCCAGACCACCGTAAGACGTCGCGTCACAAGCGCGTACAGCGTACACGGTTCGGAGCGTGAGCTGACACCGCGCGCGGCCACAAAAGGACGAATAACTTTTTGTCAACCTGCGGGCCATTTTTTTTCTCAGCAGCATAATTTCGAGAAATGATTGGAGTATATGTGTTTTTTTTCTCGAGTCGATAGCTGGCGCAGAAGGCAATTATTTCCGAATTTGGTATAAAAAAAACAAAAAAAAATCGACCTAAATGAAAATAGGACAATTGACAAAAATAACAAAGAATCTATGTCAAAACAAGATTCCAACGCTAGTTATATCGATGGAATCGGATAATTAGTTCAGCCATAATGAATTTTTTTATTTTTTAATTATTAAAAACTTTGACTTTTAATATCATGAATATGTCAATTGAAAATTTTTTTTTTTACAAAATCCTTTAGGATTTGTGTTAGTGATGTAAAATACTATCAAAAAAATGTATCTACAAACAAAAACTAATTTTGACCTAATTCAGGTGGCCCGTTTGAGAAATTCTGACCCATATATAATACCGGTATTGTAAGAAAAAGATACGAAGACAGTTACAAATATTTGAATCAGTTTTTTAAAGATTTACCCAAGCTTCCATCACACTATTGCCGTCAGAATACTCTTAAATTATATTTAGAGCACAGTTTTCTTAGCAAAACACAGTTATACGGGCTTTACGTTAAGTTTTGTGAGGAGAAAGGCTTTACACCATTAGGCCGTAATGTTTTTTCAAAGGAGTTTAAAAACAATAACTTAGCATTGTATTCTCCTAAAAAAAGATCAGTACAATACTTGTTTTGGATTTAAATATGGCAACGTAACTGAAGAAGAATATCAGGCTCATAACCAAAGAAAGGAGACCGCTCGAGAATCAAAATCAAGTGATAAGTGATAAAAATACATGTCGTGATTTTTTATGCCATCGGTGTTTGGACGTTTATTTTTGCGCCACATTCGTACATTGAGAGAAAAAGAATAGGTACCTACATATACAGTATGTCTCAGTATCTTGGAATCATATGGAAAACTTTTTTATTATTAATTTTAGGAAAAAAAGTTATTCTTCATAAAAAGTTCTGCATGGTGTAAAACTTAAAATGCAACCCACAAATATTAATTTTTTTTAGTCGTATACGAGGTATGTCAAAAAATATGAATTTGGCGCAAGAGTAAAGTACCTTTATATTTGACAATATCGAAAATTGTTATAAAGAAAAGTTAATCAGAACTAAAAACTACGTTTAAATATGCAATTTCATACATTTACATTCAAAAATTAGGTTTTGTTAATTTTTACTAATATTTCTATTTTAAATGAACATTTATCTGTTATGATTAGAAAAAACATGAAAACCTTAAGTTAAGTCAGTGGATCTAGCAGGCTAAAAAGTATTAGAATATCAACAAATCATTTGTTTATCAGTGAATCCTAAATTACATGTTACAGTTAAATTTGCATTGATATTGTAGACAAAAAAGAAAAAATATTTTTTTTTAATGTAAATGGATGTAATTGGATATTTGAACGTAGTTTTTAGTTCTGATGAACTTTTCTTTATAACAATTTTCGATATTGTCAAATATAAAGGTACTTTACTCTTGAGCCAAATTCATATTTTTTGACATACCCTGTATACGACTAAAAAAATTTAATATTTGTGGGTTGCATTTTAAGTTTTACACCATGCAGAACTTTTTATAAAGAATAACTTTTTTCCTAAAATTAATAATAAAAAAGTTTTCCATATGATTCCAAGATACTGAGACATACTGTATATTGAATCAACAGTTTTTGTGGTTAAATAAAAACATTCAATATTTTTTTGGATTTAAATTAATAGTTAATTTACATTCAAAAAAATATTAAATGTATTTAACCGCAAAAACTGTTAATTCAATTGTTAACATACTTTTTCTCACAATGTACGAATGTGGCGCAAAAATAAATATCCTAACATGTCCGATGGCATAAAAAATCATGTCGTGATTTTTTATGCCCAAACACCGATAGCATAAAAAATCATGTCGTGATTTTTTATGCCAACGGTGTTTTGATAATGATTTTTGCGCCACGTTCGTACACTAAGAGAAAAGTTAAGTTGAATCAACAGCCCAGTAAACATTTGTGATATCACGAAAAAGTCATGACGTGACATGTCACAACTTGATATCCAATTGCTGGCACAGTGATTAAGTTTGTCGTTTTATGTCAAGCAGTGACACGCGCGTGATCTTTTTATGTCACGACGTGACCCCGCAGGGACGAAACTTTTCATTTAAATGACATTACTTTAATTTGTTCATAATACGTTAATTACGTATTATGTTATTATAATATATTGTTCTTTAATACACGTTATACGTTAATGATTTTAAACAATTATTTCCCCAAAAATATATAACTTCACTTTATATGTGTTTGCGATTTTGCAAGCGAAAAAAAAATTAAATTCGTTTCCGTTTTATTTTTAATCTATAAATAATAATAAACTTAAAAAAATCAGTATCATACCCAAATTTTATTTTAAATATCTATTTGGGATGTTACAGCGCCGCCTCTGGATTAACTAAATTTAATTTACATTAAATTAAGCCCTTTGCCTACTACTAAAAACCTAAAAGGTTTTATCAAATTCGCCCAAAAAATAAATATTTTTTTTAAATAACTTTACCACCCTGCCTCTCGAAAACGAAGCTTAAAAACATACATACTTTTCTTCTGATATTTTCGATTTCTATAGATCACTAAATTTTCCCAATTAAAATCTGCGACACCCTGTATAAATGTAGGTATTATACTTATAGCATACTTGATGCACCCTGTATAAAGGTAGTGTGCAAAACTTGTCTTATATATTATTATTTTATTTAAATAAACGTTGACTGTTAATATTTTAGCCCATAATTTTATTTCACCCAAGGCCGCAAGTATGTTGAAGCTGTGATATACGATAAGAGGGTCGTCGCTATTGTTACTAGCGATGCAACGTGTTTTAAAAGACGTTGCATCGCAATTAACGACAGCGACGACGCTTTTTTTGTTTATCACAGCTCCAACATGTTTTCAATATTCCCCTGCACTTTCGCTCGCGCATGCGCGCTAGCAATGTCACGGAGTGATATCCCATTGAGTGCGTATTGCGCTTGAATGTCACGACTTGATATACCATTGATTGTGTATTGTGGAAACATATGAATGCGCCAGTGATATCACAATGTCACGACGAGATTTCGGAGTGATTTCAATACGCAATCACAAATGTTTACTGGGAGGTAACAAACTAGGTTTTAAATTCGCAGTTCGCAGGGCTATTACGCATGCGCAAATTTTGCAAAAATCACACCGTGAGTTCTACATGATATCACTGTGATGAAGCATGTGTATGCACTCAGGATATCACGGCGTGACAAAAAAAATCACGTTGTGATTTCACCAGGAAATCCCGATTGTTGTCCGGGATGTCTCAAGGCACTTCTGAAAAAAAATCAACAAAGGGCCCTTTGTTGATTTTTTATATATGGGGCATTCCATGCCAACTCATCCTACCGATTGGATTTGCATCTCCGATTTCGCTGAAATTTGGGTATCTTTTTGTACCCTTCGAAAAAGGTTTCTATGAATTTTTTAAATTTTTTTCATTCAGCCAATCGAGAGATATGAATTTTCGAAAATTTCGGGTATTTTTTCTTTTAAATAGCCATAACTTGGTGAAAAATTGTCCGATTTGGGACTTTTTTTTTCAAATTTCGTGTTTTTTAATAAACTTTTTGAAAAATTTATGCAAAAAATTATTCATCATAAATTTGATTGTTTTTTTTTCATTCCAAAGTTAAAACAAGAATTTTAAGATTGTTTGTATCCTTCAAATTTTTTAAAAAAATTCTCAAAAATTCTACTCTTCAAAACACAAATTTTAAGCCTAGTCTCGTAATGGGATAATAATGGGTTATAATTTTTTATTTATTTTTTTTTCTGTTTTTTTTCACTATTTGTGTATTACTGGCGGCTTTATTAGATGAGATTCGAAAAAATCATACATCAATATAATAAATAATTGAAGTCAAAATTTAAATTTCTAAGGTAAATTTTATTTATAACTTTTTAAAGGTTTTTTTTTATTTTTTCTGGCGTTTGAATATTTTACAAGAATAAGTTTTATTTGAGCAAGAAATCAGTTTCATTGTGAGTGATCCATCTGTATTTGGTATAACGCAATGATACTTTTGTGTATCTGTGATACTTTTAGCTTTTGAATAACGTATATTTAAATTCTCTGTAGCTTTTTCATAATCTGCAATAGTTGAATATCTTACTTCGATTTTTGGCAAGTTATTAGATTGCGCAGCCCATTGATACAACTCTCGGGGGTTTGAAATTTGTTTATCGAATGGTAACTGAAGACTAGCTCTTGCTGCACCTCTTTTTAGTGTTCCTCCTACACCGTCACAAGGTCCTTTGCCATGGTAGCTGGCAAAGAAATGCCATTCAGCATTTATTCCAAAATCTTCCTTGTGATAATATAAATTAACAAAGTTTTTGTAATTCTTAAATTGTTGAGGAGCTCCATCGGAAAAGTAGAATATCTTTTTAGCTGTATTGGACAAGGACTTTATAAAAGCAGTAACGATTTTCAAAAAGACGTTAACTGCAGTCGAGTCATGCGTGTTACAATTCGTAAATCATAAAACAAAATTTGCTGAATGGCATTTCTTTGCCAGCTACCATGGCAAAGGACCTTGTGACGGTGTAGGAGGAACACTAATAAGAGGTGCAGCAAGAGCTAGTCTTCAGTTACCATTCGATAAACAAATTTCAAACCCCCAAGAGTTGTATCAATGGGCTGCGCAATCTAATAACTTGCCAAAAATCGAAGTAAGATATTCAACTATTGCAGATTATGAAAAAGCTACAAAGAATTTAAATATACGTTATTCGAAAGCTAAAAGTATCACAGGTACACAAAAGTATCATTGCGTTATACCAAATACGGATGGATTACTCACAATGAAACTGATTTCTTGCTCAAATAAAACTTATTCTTGTAAAATATTCAAACGCCAGAAAAAAATAAAAAAAAAACCTTTAAAAAGTTATAAATAAAATTTACCTTAGAAATTGAAATTTTGACTTCAATTATTTATTATATTGATGTATGATTTTTTTCGAATCTCATCTAATAAAGCCGCCAGTAATACACAAATAGTGAAAAAAAACAGAAAAAAAAATAATTTAAAAATTAAAAAAAAAATATAACCCATTATTATCCCATTACGAGACTAGGCTTAAAATTTGTGTTTTGAAGAGTAGAATTTTTGAGAATTTTTTAAAAAAATTTGAAGGATACAAACAATCTTAAAATTCTTGTTTTAACTTTGGAATGAAAAAAAAACAATCAAATTTATGATGAATAATTTTTTGCATAAATTTTTCAAATAGTTCATCAAAAAACACGAAATTTGAAAAAAAAAAGTCCCAAATCGGACAATTTTTCACCAAGTTATGGCTATTTAAAAACAAAATACCCGAAATTTTCGAAAATTCATATCTCTCGATTGGCTGAATAAAAAAATTTGAAAAAATTCATAGAAACCTTTTTCGAAGGGTACAAAAAGATACCCAAATTTCAGCGAAATCGGAGATGCAAATCCAATCGGTAGGATGAGTTGGCATGGAATGCCCCATATATAATACCGGTATTGTAAGAAAAAGATACGAAGACAGTTACAAATATTTGAATCAGTTTTTTAAAGATTTACCCAAGCTTCCATCACACTATTGCCGTCAGAATACTCTTAAATTATATTTAGAGCACAGTTTTCTTAGCAAAACACAGTTATACGGGCTTTACGTTAAGTTTTGTGAGGAGAAAGGCTTTACACCATTAGGCCGTAATGTTTTTTCAAAGGAGTTTAAAAACAATAACTTAGCATTGTATTCTCCTAAAAAAAGATCAGTACAATACTTGTTTTGGATTTAAATATGGCAACGTAACTGAAGAAGAATATCAGGCTCATAACCAAAGAAAGGAGACCGCTCGAGAATCAAAATCAAGTGATAAGTTGAAAGCCGAAAAAGGTGAAATTATGGTACTAACAATTGATTTACAGGCTGTTAAACTGTGTCCCTATTTACCAGCAAACAAAATATATTTTAAAACGAAGTTATGTTGTCATAACTTTACTGTGTATTATCTAAAAACTCATGACGTAATGTGCTATTGGTTCTCCGAAAATGAGAATAATCAGTTAAAAGCTTCTACATTTGTGTCATGTATCATTAATTATCTGGAGGAAATCTGTGTAACAGATTAAAAAATTCCAATTATTATTTATTCCGACGGTTGCGGGTATCAAAACCGAAATAATATCCTTTCTAATGCGCTGTTAAATTTCTCCATAAGATACAAGACTCAAGTATTTCAAAAATATCTTGAACCGGGTCACACTCAAATGGAGTGTGACTCAGTCCACAGTGTAATTGAGAGAAGTCTTAGAAATCGAGAAATTCATTTACCCAGTGAATATGCTTCTGTAACCATTGAAGCTAGAAAAAATCCTAAGCCATATCGTGTAAAATTGGTGGATTTCACATTTTTTAAAGACTTTTCTTCATCCAGTCATCTAAGGCATTCTTCTATTCGACCGGGTAGAAAAGCTAGTGATCCTGTTATAACTGACATAAAATGCATTAAATATGATCCAAATGGAACAATTGAAGTTAAATTAAATTTTAATGATGATTTTATCGAAGTTCCTGTAAGGCCAAAAAGGATTCCAGTAATTTTAAACTATCCACCCTTGTTTTCTGGTACACCTAAAATTAAAATGGAAAAATGGCAGCACCTACAGGAACTGAAATCTGTTCTTCCAAAGGATACCCATGCATTTTATGACAGTATTCTGCATGCTTAATAAAAAATGTGTTTTGTTATACATTAATAATAACTAATTACCAGTTTTTGTTTTGAGATTTAAATCTGTTAGAGGGATTAGATCTGTTTACGTTTTGTTTTTTTTTAGAAAATATTTTAAATGTGTTTTTAATTTAAAAATACTTATAAACTCTTTTTACCAGTATTGTTTTCTTACTTAATTGCAACTTCTCCTAAATGTAAAAAAATCTGTACGAAATACTCCTATAAGTCATTACATTTCAAACAATATCTCCTATCTAATTTTGTTTAATAAGGGCAAAATATTGTTAAAAATATATATATATATCTATGAGTGAAAAATAATTCAAAATCAAGCAATTCATAGATTTATTGGATTTTTTTTGTCTCCTGTAAAATTTAGGTTAAATGACATAGGAGCTATTGCCAGGTCACCGACGATAATTGAGAGAAAAAGTATACCTACATATTATGTAGGTATACTTTTTCTCTCAATGTACGAATGTGGCGCAAAAATAAAAATACATGACATGATTTTTTATGTCATCGGTGTTTGGATATTAATTTTTGCGACACATTCGTACATTGAAAGAAAAAGTATGTCAACAATTGAATCAACAGTTTAACATTCAATATTTTCTTGGATTTAAATTAATTAGTTAATATAAATCCAAGAAAATATTAAATGTATTTAACCGCAAAAACTGTTGATACAACATAATTTTTCCCTAAGTGTACGAACGTGGCGCAAAAATAATTATCCAAACACCGTTGGCAAAAAAAATCACGACATGATTTTTTGTGCCATCGGTCAATCGCAAACAGCGATGGCATAAAAAATCACGACATGATTTTCATTTCTCACGCAGTGACATCCGGATGATGTCCGTATGAACAAAGTTTGTGAAAATCACGACGTGACGTTCGTATGATTTTCATTTATTACGCGGTGACTTCCGTATGATATCAGTATGAATAAAATTTGTGAAAATCACGACATGATGTTCGTATGAATATTACGAATGTTGTCCGGGAAGTACCAATAGTTAAGGAATGAGTTAACCAAAAGGTATAGGGTCAGGCGCCAGCCAGTTCTAAAACCTCTAAATATGGCTGCCAAGAAACGAACTGCCCGATCTATTAGATCCAACCTGTGCACTGGAAGATTAAAATTTATTATGTGCAAAATTACCTTCAATTTTGTTTGTCTTTTCTTTTTTGGAACCTTTGGGAGCATCTAATCGAAATTCAATATCAGGTACAATTTGTACAGCCCTTCTATAAAATTGAATGGCTTCATATAATTTACCAGATCTTTCCATTTCAATGCCCTTTAAAAATAGGCTTTTGGCTTTTTCTTCTAAATCATTATTTGTTGATTTTTCTGGATTTTCTTCAGCATGTGTTAGTGATTTATTTTTAGTGTTTGAGATCCTAAGTTCTTTTTGCCATTTTTCACGAAAACTTGCCAATGCATCTTTAACATCTGGATCTGGCTGATCTGATTGTGAGTTGATTTCATTTTGTCCTAATTTATCCTGAAAATAATTTTATCATTACATCATAACAAAACAACTTTGAAATAAATTTCTTAGCTTACCATCTTAAATGATTTATTTAATTTATTGTTCTATCACAAACGAAAATAGTTCACGGTCAGAAAATCTGTGGATAATCCTGGATTTTGAAATATTCTCGGAAAATTTAACATCCATGTTTTGCGAACCAAAATATTTTTGATCCTATTTGACAGATTTTAACTATTGAGAATTATATGCAAGTATAAATTTTACACAAGTTATTAATATATTTAATGACAAAAATTGCGTTCATTTTAATTTTCTTGATATAAACTTTTTTATTGCTTTCACTATTTTTAAAATAATATAAAATTTTCTAAATTTTCTAAAGAAATTCGATGTAAACAGAGAAAACCCAGTGTTGCTAACCTTTTAAAACTAAAATCCGTAGTTTTTGTTTAATAAAAGCCATGTTTTTATGAATTAAATGAATTAATGTTTTTGTGAATTATTAATTAAATGAGGTTTTTAACTGCGATTCAAAAGCTTTTGGTTGACATTGGCGCCATTGGTGTTTGTCTGTGCCATTGTTATCTATGCATTGGCCAACCGCAAACGCCAACTGTAAAGCCTGATTTATAAATTGCCTTCATTCCTTCCTCCCTTCCTAACGTATAAGATGAACAATACAAAAACCGTTGTGCGTTTAAAGATTCCCGTACGGGAATCTATAAATTGCACTACGATTCTCGTATTGTTCATCTTTTACGGGAGGAAAGAAGGAAGGAAGGAAGGAAGGCAATCTATAAATCAGGCTTAAGTTTATAAATCGGAATAAAACCATTGAAAATAAACGAAGAATTTTTAAATATCGATTAAAGTAAAATCAGAAAAAATTAACGATAATGAAAAATAAATGGATATTAGGTATATAAAAATGTGTGTTTAATCTCAGGCTGTGTAACAACTGTTTTTTTAATTTTGAAAAACAGGAAAACAATTTGAGAATAAAAAATTAAGTGTGCAAATGCAACAACACACGTGTGTACACATCAGCTGTTTGCAGTGTTTACAAGTACAACCAAATGTTGGTAAACAAAACAGAACTATATAGGTTTGAAACGTACTATCGCTAACAAAAAAAACTCATACAGCTATATTGTGGCTGTGTGAATAAAACTTTTCCGTCAATGTCAAGCTGACATCCAGCTTTGTCACATCCATTATGACTTTTTTAACATTTAAAATTTTAACCAAACAATGCAGACGAACTCTGGCAAGCCATTGAAGCCATTTGGAACGAGATAAAGCAAGACGGCGACTTCCATGCTTTGCCGTTTGCGGGCAGTAATTGACAAAAACAGAGGGATGACGAAATATTATTTTTTTTTCAAACTTTAACCTAACTTTGTATTTAATTTTAGACCTTTCATATATATGTGACGTATCATGTTAAAAGCCATAATTACTCCAACGAAATGATAGAAAATCAGGAACACTAGATTTTTAAGCTGTATGAGTTTTTTTTGTTAGCGATAGTATATATAGTAAATTTAAAAGTAAACTACGTACACGTCATCAATAAAACAAAAATTTTACGCATTGGTACCAACACTAAATGACTAAATCGAAGTCTGTAATTGAATATTTGAATGCATTTTAACCAAATTAAGTTGGCAACAATTGTGATGTTGTCATGTTTACATTCAAATTTTTCATATTTAAATGACACATAAAAAAGAATTTGACGTTTTAGAATTTCGAAGCTGTCAGTTGTGTTTTTGAATATTTCGTTTAATTCGTGTATTATTTCGTTTATTTTGTTTGTTGTTTGTGTTATTTTAAATCGTTTAAGTTTTCATTGCCGTTTTTGTGTTTGTTATATATCGTTTTTTGTGTTTCCTATATTTAAAATGCCGAAGCATTTAAATAGTCGGAGTCAAGAGTTGGTGTCATCCTTAATACGCTATTTTGAGGCAGAACGGGATAATAATGGGCCTTTGTTACTTTTAACAGCTGTTAGAGAGGTAAATAGGATTATTATTAATTATATATTAGAATATTTAACAAAATATATGTTGGATACATAAAATAATAATATATATACCAGAGACTGACTTTAGATGGCAAAATTTTTGGGTTTTATATCAGAAAATGTCTTTAAAAATGGCTAAAAACATACTTTTGGCGGTGCTCATATAGGTTATAAAAACTCAGACTTTTGACATTTTGGTATTATTCATGTAAACGCCATCTATCGCCCTGTAGTTGCACTACCACTTTCCCTTGATGCAAGGATTTTAGCATCACATTGACAACCGTGCCCGATCAGCTGATTGATGACGTGTACGTAGTTTACTTTTAAATTTACTATACGTTTCAAACCTAAGGTTTGTTCCTGCAGTGGTAAAAACATATACCTATAACTTTATAGGTACCTACTATCGCTAACAAAAAAAACTCATACAGCTCAAAAATTTAGTGTTCTGATTTTCTATCATTTCGTTGGGGTAATTATGGCTTTTAACATGATACGTCACATTTGAAAGGTCTAAAATTAAATACAAAGTTAGGTTGAAGTTTGAAAAAAAAAATAATATTTCGTCATCCCTCTACTTTTTGTCAATAGAGTAATTGCATCAAAAATGAAAATCCCTAAAAACCTTTTTAATGTAATCTAGAGGTAAAAACACATTGCAAAAATATTTTTTTATATTCCAAAAGTTCAACCCGGCCCCAAAATATCAAATTGAAAAAAAGGTACTTTTCAAACGTTCCGAACTCCCGCCATACTGCATGACGTCATAAGCTTCACCAGCTGTCAGAAATCAAGATGTCAACAAATAATAAACACCGATAAAGTTTATGTTTAACATGGAAAACGCGAAACCAAAAATTGGTTGTAAATATTGTTTTGTGCCTTGTTGTACAAATACAACCTGGAAAACTCCTGGGAAAGTTGTCCCTTCAATTACCAAAAGCAAAGTTTATGACCCTACACTGAGAGCAGGGCCGAGCCGTGCCGGGGGTGCAAGGGGTGCATGGCACCCGGGCGGCACTAACACAGGGCGGCAAAATATCATCAAAAAAATTGTATCATATTATCAAGAATAAAAAAGCCACCTTGCAAATATGCAAAAAAATCACTTGCGTTTTATTGATGTCGGCGTTTCAAGGAATCATCGTCTTTATCTACACATAAAAACAATGCCAAAATTGTGCTGTCAGCCGGCAATGATAAAAAAGACATAACCGAACGCGCGATAGCCACAAAAAATGATGATGACAATTTTCTTAAAGCCCGGTTTATAGATTGCCGCCCGCCCGCTTCACTTTCCGTCCGTCCGCTTCGAGTTCGTCAAGTTTCATGTTTTACGGAAGCGGGCTTACGGGAAACCAATCAAATCGCGCGCTGTGTACCACGTGATATTGTTTACAAGCTGAACTGTTAAGTTAAAGCATAATTTCTTCCGATTTGACGGCTGCGTATTTCAGCAATTTTTAGTTTTTCTATTAACGTGAGGCAAATAGGATGCAAACATAGTAGTTTATTTTGTCTTTTAATGCGTTTAAGTTAAAAACTAAAAAGAAATAAACTATAATCAAGTGTAAGCTCCGTTTCTAACAACTTGGATGTAAGCGACTTGATTAGGGAATTTTTTATTAAAAAAGCGAGAAAAGTAGATTTTAGTTTTTCAGTTTAGTTTAATTATTTTTGTTTTTTTTTGTTCCTGAATGTATTTTTATTTTATTCTTTTATGTATTTGTTAATAAATACTTTGTTATTTTACTATAAAATTTGTTATATGTTTATTGAGAATGATAAATTATGAACTCCTTCCCTACCGACAACCGAATTTTTTACTATAATGGGGGCGGCAAATTTAATTCTTGCACCAGGGCGGCAGATACCCTAGGCTCGGCCCTGACTGAGAGTAGTTACGGCTCAGCCGTATTTTCTTGAATTTATTAATATTTAACATACCTATTCAAACCATATACCTAGTAAACGACATTTTATTTTACTTACATTAAAATGATCCTTAAAATGAGCAATAAAATGGTGACAATGTTTTGATATCGCGCCGAGCTATTTTAATCCACTTTATCCTTATTTTCCCTTTTGGCACGGTGATAAACCTTTTCCCAGGAGTTTTCCAGGTTGTATTTGTACAAGGCACAAAACAATATTTACAACCAATTTTTGGTTTCGCGTTTTCCATGTTAAACATAAACTTTATCGGTGTTTATTATTTGTTGACATCTTGATTTCTGACAGCTGGTTAAGCTTATGACGTCATGCAATATGGCGGGAGTTCGGAACGTTTGAAAAGTACCTTTTTTTCAATTTGATATTTTGGGGCCGGGTTGAACTTTTGGAATATAAAAAAATATTTTTCTTCTTCTTCTTCAATAATAGTTATTCTCTCTTTCGAGAGAATTGGACTTGAGCCAATTAGGCTCTTACTGCCCAGTTACAAGTTTTAACGTCATTGAGCTTCTCGAAGCCATCCACTCACGGACATGTGGAATTTCAAATCTTGAAACATCCACTACATCAATTGCACAAATCACAAAATTCCTCGCTGAAAGGACAAAGCTTGCGATATTGTCGAGAAATACAGGTATATTTCTATACCGGGAACCCCATTTTATCCTTCCTGGGTCAAAGTCAACTATTTTCAGACTTTTTCATGGAGCGATGTACACACGATGAAGGATAAAATCGAACTTCCAAAAATATTTTTACAATGTGTTTTTACCTCTAGATTACATTAAAAAGGTTTTTAGGGATTTTCATTTTTGATGCAATTACTCTATTACTTCCCGCAAACGGCAAAACCTGGAAGTCGCCGTCTTGCTTTATCTCGTTCCAAATGGCTTCAATGGCTTGCCAGAGTTCGTCTGCATTATTTGGTTGAAAATGTTAAAAAAGTCATAATGGATGTGACAAAGCTCGATGTCAGCTTGACATAGACGGAAAAGTTTTATTCACACAGCCACAATATAGCTGTATGAGTTTTTTTTGTTAGCGATAGTATATGGGTAAATACCAAACGTTAAAAAAACTAATAAAAAGTTTTTCCATTTTTTGTATATTAACAAATAATCCAAAAAATCCGTACATTTTGTGGCTTTATCCGAAAATCCGAGTTTAACATTGACATCCGTAGATCTACGGATAAATCCGTAGGGTTAGCAACACTGAGAAAACCATAGACATATTATATAATACGTCCATGGAGAAAACCGTGTTCGATATTCGATTATTTTGTCAGATAGGTGCTCCTATGTTACTTTTTTAAAGCAGGAACTAAAATTTTTTAAACTTTTAAATGTACCTATGTATATTTCAATATTGATATTTTTTTATATTTTATTGCGACATAATTAAACGAAATTGTTTCATTTTATAGTATAATAAAAATCTTATAATCTAATTATAATTGTTTAATTTTATTTAATTTTTGTCATCAGCTTTGGCAACACTGGTTATTGGTGATTCTTTATATCTGGTGCAAAGCGAACGTCAAATCTGAAGTTTTTATTTTCAAGTTAAGTTTTTCGAAGCATAACTTTATAAAAAACTTAACTAAAATGGTCCTGGAAAGTACTATGATATGGTAAGTTAAACTTTTTGTTAGTTACATCCTTAATAAAACCGCAACTAAAAATAACCTCACTTTTCACAATGACTTGTAAATATTGAATTGTGCTAAATTGCTATTGTTCTTTTAGCGTCGATAATAGTGATTTTATGAGAAATGGAGACTTTCTGCCTACAAGACTACAAGCCCAACAGGATGCTGTTAACTTGGTTTGCCATTCTAAAACCAGATCCAATCCTGAAAACAATGTTGGTTTACTAACATTAGCCAAGTAAGTAAATACGGGTCTATTTTTATATACAATTGGTACAAAACTGAGTTGTAACTGTAGAGCCTTTATTATAGAGGTCTTAAAAATAATAAATATCAATATAACCTTTAAAAGAACTTAAAAACTTAAGGCTGTTATTCTTATTGCTATTGCTTCTATTTTAAATGCTATGTTTTTGTACATTTGAATAAAAAGTTACTTAGGGTTGGTATGTTTAAAACGAAGTATTTTAAACAATTGTTTTAACATTTTAAACAAATTTAAAACTGTAAGTAAAACCCAATGTTTAAAACCACTGCATTTACTAAAAATATTAGATTTTTTTGTCACATGTAACCCTTTGGTGCCAGTACTTAAGTACCTACTTAAGTACTCAATATTTTGAGTCCAACCAATTTATACTTGTAAAAAATATATTTTTAAACATAAGAAAACAGTTTTGAACTAATCAACACAAAACAAAACAACACAACATGTTTGTTTATTAAAAAAATACTAATATTTTTTATACCTATCCTGTGGTATGGCATTAGTGTGCCACCCTCTGTAATACTAAGGGGAGTCTGGCAGACTTGAACTACTTTTTACATAAAAAATTAATTAAAACTTGTACATTTCTTTATTTATTTTTGATACTACTTACAAACACAATACAAATTGTAATTAAAAGTAGAGATGGGAAAATTCCCATTTGACGAAAATTCCCGGAAACTTTCCATCGAAAATTCCCGAAATTTTCCGAAAGTTTCAAAAAAAAAATTTTTATTGCGAAAATATTTTTTTTTATGCCAGGGATTTGCAAAAATATATAACACATTAACTTTTTGTTAAATTTTATTAAGAAAAAAAATAAAAAAAATGTTTATAAGAATGTAACTGCAATACTATTTTTAGTATCTTTTACTTTGGAATATTTCTATTGTATACTGAAACCTACAAAATAAAAATAAAAAAATTATTATAAAATGTTTACTATTAGAAATTCACTGCTAGTAAATCCTAGATATTTTGTAAAAAAAATTAAAAGGGACAAAGTAACTAATATACTAATATACTAATATATATAATATAGGAATATTGAAAAGTAAAAAGTTAAGTAAAAAATAATTCCAAACACTAGGTTTTTTTCTTGACATTTTGCTATGTCTATAAATAAACAACAAAAATGTAAGAATGATTTTAACTTTGTTTATAAGTTTTTTGTGATGCTGAATAATCCGGCTTCATTGAGGTTATGTAACATAACTTACATTATTTATACTTCTTCTTCTGCTTTAAATTAACACACATTAAATTCTTATTCAGTTTCTTGGCCTTGTATCATGGCCCGAACGAAAATCAGCGGTTAAACAATTGACATTTAAATGAAAAAAACAAGGAAAGTTTCCAAGGAATGTTTCCAAGGAATGTTTCCGGTAGCTTAAAAGAAACTTTCAAAATGAAAATAAATTCCCAATTGGAAACTTTCCAAAACGGAAAGTTTCCTTAAAATGGAAACTTTTCGATTCCCATCTCTAATTAAAAGTAAGAGATAAATACATGAATATAATTAAAATCTAAATTCAAAAACAGTAACAAAACAAAAACAGATGTACAAGTAGCCTAAACTAAGAATAAAAGACCAAAATGAGAGAAAGTGTGATCTAATTTAAAATTTCCCATAAATAGGTCAATGTTGGATACTTCCAATAATAAGTTGCATTGCTCCAGCATATTTCTAAACAAAAATTTAATATAAGTTCGAGTGGAGGTTCAATTCTTCCAACTGGTCAAGTCGCCAAGACTAAAATTATAAAAGTATTTTGATGACCATTTACTATATTTTGAAAAACAAAATGCATTTTTTTAAATTGGTATTTAGTTAAATAGAACCAAGATTTATTTATATCTCTTTGTAGTGTGGAAGTATTAGCTACATTAACAAGTGATGTTGGAAGAATTTTATCCAAATTACATCAAGTTCAACCAAATGGAGATATTAACTTACATACTGGAATTAGAATTGCTCATGTAAGATTTAAAGAATTAGGTGTATATTATTTATATATTGTTTATGTTCATAATATTTTAGTTGGCTTTAAAACATCGCCAAGGCAAAAACCATAAAATGCGTATTGTTGTATTTGTTGGAAGCCCTATTGCTAGTGAGGAGAAGGAATTGGTGAAGTTGGCTAAAAAATTGAAAAAAGAGAAAGTAAACGTTGACATTGTAAGTTTTGGGGAAGACATGATAAACTCTGATGTTCTCACTTCCTTTGTGAATACACTTAATGGAAAAGTAAGTATAACTATAGCGCGCGATTTTACCATTTAGCATATTGCTTTCGCATTAATAATAATAACACTTCTAGACTATTCTAAAAATGTTACATTCAAACATTTACTACATAAAGTGGTTCAGTTGAAATTAAGTAGGTACTGAAACGTCGCCCCATATTTTCATTAAAAAAATTCATTAAAAAAATACAATAAGTCAGTTTTGATGTGTAAACATCTATGCTATGGGCTTGCGGTACGTTTTAGGAAAAGCGTAACGCGTAAGTCATGTAGATGTGACGACAGTGACGTCAGTGTGTAGAAAGAGTGGGGACGTGAACGTAGAGGGAATCATATTCGCATGTGTGTTTGTTGAGTTAGAAAGGAGTGGCTGTGCATAAGCAGTGTTGCCAACAGTCTATTGTGAAAAGTCTCAACCAAGCTCTTCAAAAGTCGCCAGAAATCGCTAAATTATTTGACACTTAAAAATCGCGTGATGTCGCAAATTTGAAAAAAAAAAGTTTAAAAAAGAAAGAATTACACAAAAATAATTAATAATTGTTAACAAATATTTTATTTGAATAACATTAAATTATTATAAAATCAACAGTCATTCTAAAATTAGAAAAATAAATAATAGTATACCTATTATGTATCAAGTTTGATAAACGCCATTTTATACACGAATTTAATGAGTGTATAGAAAAGCTTATATACGAGACAAATACTTATTATTATCTTAAAATGATTTAAATCAAATATTTGTATAGAGCGCCATCTATGAAAAAATAGGGGAATCTGTGTGTCACCGTCAAATTTTACTATTTTATAAACACAGATTATGAAGGTTATAAATCGAAATATATTCCTTGAAAATGAACAGTTTTTCACAGTGAAAGTAAAGAAAATGTTTTATGAGCACTTTACAGAGTCCGTGCCCGAATTTAAGTTATAGTTTACTGCCGGCAAAATGTTCATATAAACTTTTCAAATATTGGCGTTAAGAAACTATTTAATACTTTTTTATTGAGATAATAAAATAATTTTCACATTTAGAATTATTTTACAAGAAAGGCACTTTATTTTAACAATTGTATGACATTTTACAACTGCCAACTAACTTAAAACTAACTTCAACCCGTTACTAAAACTCCATAAAGCCTCAACATTGTGTATTTAAAAGGTCACTTAGTGTCATGGAAACATGTACGATAATGGGCGTTTTAAAAGTGGAAGTAAAAAAAATATATAAAATAAATACATAAATAATTATTAAGGTAAATAAGAAAATACAAAAATATTTAAGAAATTCAGTCGATTTTGCATCGTCATTAATTAATAGGCAAGGTATAAATTTTTTAGGGTTTGAAATTTGACGGATGACGTACGGATGCGTCGTTGCCAAGTTGGCCATGCCAAAGTAACAAATTTTACAAATTTTAATTTAAAATTTTTAAACTAGAAAGTATTTTTTTGTTTTGTGTAAAAACAAATTTTATTATTAATATTAAAATGTCTCCAAAACTTTGCCTAACATAATGTTTGAGACACGTCGCAAACCATGCATAAGTAAGAGATATAGAAATAAATCAATCCAATATGGCGGCCGCCGCACACTGGCCAAGTCAGTGGTACAAAAAATCGAGCAAAAAATAGCCGACATTTTTCCAAGTTATGTAGATAAGATAAAAGGAAATTTAACTTTACAAACTATAGTGCTTATATATTGCAAACTTAAACGTTAAAAACATGTTTGTTAAAGTAGTAGTAGTAGTAGTAGTAGTAAATATATTTATTGGAAAAAACAAAAGGCCTATATACCTAAATACAATTTTATTTTTAAATATTTGATATAGTTATAAACTAGGTATATAAACTTAATTATCTTAAAAAAAAAACAATTAATATCAATCTATCTGTTCCAAAATAATTTTCCACAGGAAAATTTCCTTTTTTTTGGGAGGCCTTCTATTTCAGGAAAAATAAAGGATTCCATTCTTTCAAGGTTTCTACTTCTATTGCAGAATTTCTCAGAGAGGTTACATATTCTTTCCATAATGGGTCTCATGTTGGTTCTTTCATACAAAAGCAGATTTGAGGGGTTGAATAAGGGGTTTCTTGAATGTCTAATTTTGGTTAGATGCCGAAGGCTTGTTGTTTCTGCAGTCTCCAGGTTTTTTAGGGAAGGTCTTCTGCAGGTCTGATATATTATGGAACCGTAGTCCAACAGTGGCCGACAGATCATTCTGTCTGTTTTAATAGTTGCTTCTTAAAGGTTAGAGATTTGAAATGTTTTGCTCTAGTAATGAATATATGTTGGTTTTCTATTGATATTTGTGGCGAGTCATCTTTAATTTTGTGATTAAAAATAATAAATTGAGATTTCCTGGCGTTAATCTTTATTCGCCAACTTGCAAACCAATTAGAGATAATGTTAATTGCCGATTGCAGGTTATTGAAAGCTGTTAAGAGGGATTTGTTGTGGGCTATTAAAGCTGTGTCATCGGCGTATTGCAGTATGTAAGTTTTTTGGGGCAGATAGTTGACATCTATTATATCGTAAACGAATAAATTGTAGAGTGTTGGAGATAATGGGGAGCCTTGAGGAATTCCTTGGGCCATTGAAAAAGATGTTGAAGTGAATTTGTTTATTTTTACTTTAAGAGATCGGTTTTTCAAGAAGTTTTTAATCAGCCACCTTAGATATTCTGGGCAGTCCAGAAGATAGAGTTTATATAACAAGCCTCTATGCCACACACTATCAAAAGCTTTGCTAATGTCAAGGAAAAGAGCTGTCGAGTGGTGTCATATTATGCTGTGTTGCTGCAGATTTGAGACCAGTGTAATTAGCGGATGTATTGTCGAGTGTTTTTCTCTAAAACCAAATTGATACTGCTGAATCCTATCGCCGATCTCCTGGAGTAGATGATTTTTAATAATTTTTTCAAAGTTTTTACCAATCACAGGTAAAAGAGTGATTGGTTTGTAATCACTTGGTGTTGAAGCAGATGTATATTTGGGAATAGTTATGATAATGCCCTCTTTCCATATTGACGGGAAGTAATGGTGTTTTAAACAGTAGTTATAAATTTTTAAGATGTATTCATGAATTTCTTGTACAAGATTTCTCAAGATTTTTCTGTTAACATAGTCATGTCCTGGGTCGGAATTTTTTCCTTCTTGTAGAACTTTATAGTATTCTATTTCGCTAATAGTGGGAGTGGTTAAGTTGACGTTTTGTACCTTAAAGAAATTGCTGTACCAGACATTGATGTTGTTAAGATACGAATTATCAAATTTGGGATCCTCCAAAAATTTATAGCTATTTTCAAAATAATTTAAGAAGGCTGTGGCTATATCTTTATCTGATGTTAGTGTTTGGTTGTTTTCAATAATTTTGTGGGATTGGGGACAGTTTCTATATTTTAAAAGTTTTTTAATCTCCTTCCAATAGTTTTTTCTTCGTAGGTCATTAATGTTTTTACAAGCCTCAAGCCATTTGTGTGTTTTGTATTGGGCAACCATATTGTGGACTAACTTATTATATTTGTTGAAGAGAGTTTTTAATTGAGGATCATTATTTTGTATAATTTCTCTGTACAGTTTTCTTTTCGTTTTCAGCATTGCAAGAATGTATGGTGGAAGATTGTAGTTAAAATATGATCTTTTTATTTTGGGTGTGTTATTCATACAGGGCTTCTAGCAAGTCATTTTAGTCATTAAAAATCATTTTTTTCTGTTGTGGTCATTTAATGTCATTTTTTGTAGGGATTGGTCATTTTTGATCATTATTTTAGGTTCTTACTTAATGTTATAAGATTTTTTTGGTAAATAATACAAATAAAATGGAAAATCTACGCCACTTTAATTTATTAATCTACACCACTGGTAGTGCCGCGCTGGTGCCACCTGTTAATACTTTTAAAAAGTTGTAAATATAATTCTTTCTTTGTTGCTCCCATTCTTTTTTTCATTCTTGTGTCTCATGAAAAGTTCGATTTTGTTGGTGCTAGGGTACGGACCGCTCAATGAAAAGTTTGAAATATAGGTGACTCTTCGACCTAGGAGGGACAAAATTGGATTCCCGGAATAGAAATATTCCTGTTGCACGATAATATTCCTCGATTGGTCCTTTTACAAAGGATAAGAGGAATTTATATAAAGCTAAAATTTTTAAGGTTACATAACCTATTTGTGTCCACTTGTTTGTTAGACAACCGTTGTCCAAAATCCACTTGTTGCTGGTCAAAATGGTACATTGATTCCAAGAGTCTTGGACCAAGACCATAAGAAGAAGTGTCTCATGAAACACACTCCCGCCATTTTCTTCTAAAGAGTGCGTGTTTTAATCCTTATCCTTTTTCTATGGTTTTAATTGTTTTGCTCAACGTAAAAGGCGAGAGCTCGAGATCGAAACGTTTTATTCATTAAAAATATGTAATAATGTAAGTAAAAATTAAATAAATAAATTGAAACCCCAATTTATTTAAGTCATCATTTAAGTTATTTAAGTCAATTTTTTTAATTTTATATTTATTTGTTAATTTATTTTAATTAATTTTATCTTGTAAAACTATTTAAAAGGAGGTTTTAATACTATTTTCCAACTTAAAATTTATTTTCATTAGGATAGAAAGTCATAAAATAGTCATTTTTTAAAAGAAAAAGTCATTATGTTGTCATTATTTTTAAAAAAGGAAGTCATTATATCATTAAAATTTTCAATTTTTTTACTAGAAGCCCTGTTCATAAGGCTCTCTTTCAGTACTAGAAAATTTTTAATAAAATGATCTTTCCAAAGAGCAACAATTTAATAGTTCCATGTTTACTTTTTCAAAGTTGCATCTATAAAAGTTCAGGATGTACTCTGGAATGGAAGCTGTTGGAAGTAGATGGCTGATAATTTCAAATTGAATGGCTAAATGATCAGTAGGTACATAAATCTGGGAGAACAGATATGTTTTTTATGCTGTTTACTATGTTTTTGGTACAGAGAAGAATATCTGGCGTGGAGTCGGGGTT